TCATTGATAAAGATATTAAACAAGACTGGCCCCAAAACAGATCCCTCTGATCCTTCTCCTCTCCAGACCAAGCAGCCCCAGCACTGTGCCGAGAGATTTCCCACCAGCACTCTCCTTCTGTCCTTCCTGTCTTCCCTTGAAGCAGGCACGAATCTCACTTCTGGCTATACGACAGCCAGGTGCCAACTTCCCACAGCTGGTACAAGCAGTGGTTTGTACTGACAGGCTGGTCATGTCGTGCCAAGAGTGTTTTTGGATGTTATCCATGTGAGGTAGTTATGTGTGGACTACCAGGAGGATCAGTTGTCAATGGCACTGGGTTCATATTTTTCCACTGCTGTAGGGGGAAGATGTGAAACAGGAGAAGGATCAGACCATAGCTGGTATTTGTAAATAAATACCTTGTTTGTTTGAAGCAGCAGAATACAAATTCTTACTGGGAGTGCTTAGAAAGAAGCAATGCTCAGAGTCATTATCTAGGCATTGTTTTTTTCTCCAAATTGCTTCTGCTAAAGTCTCTTACCTCAAAGACTGACAACTTCACCATTTGAATATCAAAGAACATTTGAATAGATTTGAATTTTTCATTTCTAATACCGTTTCTCTCTATTGTTAGTAATATCCTTTCAGAAGCTTCGAAGAGAAATCCTTCAGTGCTGATTTAGTCATTTTTTGTTTGCCACATAATGATTTTTCTATTCCACTTGCTTTGGTAGGGAATACGAGCCTCACTTTTACAGAAGAACTATTTGTTAACAAAATTAAGGAGGTCAATTTTGGCAGTCAGTTCGCTTGTACTCCCTTGGTCACCATATTATCTCTAGGATAATAAAAAATAAACCATTGCTGACCTTAAACAAGTAGCAGATGATTTTTAAAGTTTAAGAAATTGTATTTATTTACTAATTTTTTAAAACAGTCAAATCTTTATGAACCTGTTCCTACTGAAACTCTGATAGCACTATTACAGACTATGTTTTATGTCTTGGCTACTTGTTAAAAAAAATAGGAAACCTGTAGCTGATTAATACTGTAATATAGGAAAAGTATTAGTAAAATGTCCAGAATAGGAAATTATATCACCATATTTCTGAGCACGTTTTTACAAACTGAGGGCAGGTACCTGGTGTAGGGTGTTTCTGAGGGCACATCTATGCTGATAATTTATCTTAGACTTCGCTTGAGACGTGGTGTGAAATCCCTGACCAGATCTACTTGCCTTGTGCTCTTGCATCTCAAAGTGGGTTTTGGTACTGGAGAACTGCTTATGTTGGAGTAAAGGGATAATGAATATGTCAATGGGAGTTTGGTGGGGCTCTCAGTTATTCAGTTGCACCCTTTTTAAAATGTATGTTTTCATTAGAAAGAGGGTATTTCAAAAAAGCATTAGCAGTTTGGTAATGAACAGCACTTTCATGGTTCATTTTTTTTCCACAAAGAATGTTTTGTGGGTTTTTTTAACCAACATGATCTCAGTGGCCATCCCTTTCTGACAGGGCTTGTTTCCTTATCAATTCAAGAGCCCAGTGGCAAAGACCCTCTCTGTTATCCATCACAGATCCTACCACAAGGAGGAGTGCCAAAACCGGACCCACAGCTCGCAACCGCTACGCTAGTCAGTGGACCCTCAACAGACCTCACCCCACCATATCAGCTCATACCCTCACCACAGACTGGAGGCTGCCCACCCCCAGGCCAGCAGGATCAGTGGACAAGGAAAGCGACAGCTACAGCGTCAGCCCCTCGCAGGACACGGGTACGGGCTGCTCTGCAAGGCTGCTCTGTGAAAAAGGGACAGCAGTAACTGCAGTAGCCTTCTTGGTCCTTGATGTACTTCATTTGGTGCTTAGGTGTCACTATTTTTTCCTTGCTAGGGTGTTTTTCTACAGGCTATTTATAAGGGGTGCCACAAATGCACGTAGTGCTAATGAGAACAAATACTGTGCCCATGGTTTCTCATGCTATACATGCATACTGGAGTCCTTTGAAAGATATGGTGGTAATTTTTCCTGTAGCTGAAGTGCTGTACTTCCTGTATCTGAAAGAAAAAGTAGGAGGATTTCGTGCCTGAAATGGTATTGACCAGGAAGGGGCAGTATTAGCAACCAAGAATATGCCCTCAAGTCATAGGTGGAATGGTTTTAATGTTTGAGCTACATTGAGGTTAATATTTTCCTTTTCCCATTCATGTAATATGTTCATAGGGTTTGTTCTAAGAGGGAAAAATGAGATGGAAAAATCTGGAATTAGAGTCCAAGTCAAAATCCATTCATACCACTGAATACTGCAGCAGCTAGCTCTGATTTCCCTGAGAAACAGCATAGGTTTTATTCCTCTAGATGATAAGTGGGGACACACTGAATACATATTCTGCCTGCAGTCTTTATAAAGTCACATTATAAATGCAATTGTAACTGACAAAAAAAAGCTTTCTCCTCTGCCGTACACTGAACAAGTGACAAAAAAAAGGCAAATAAATGAGCAAATGATTAAGTAGAAGAATAGCCACAAAGCAAATCTAATAAAGGTTAAATATGAAGAAAGGTAAAACACTATTCAAAGGTATGTCTGACAGAAGCAAATCCAGGCTTACTCTGGACTCCTCAGAAGGAATTGCTTACCTTCCATCCTGATTTTAGGGGAAAAGCATTTGTCACGTGAAAAAGCTATGTGTTAGAGCTACAAAACAGTAGGTGTGACTGGCCTTTCACTATGAAAACCAGTATGACTGTTTTTATTCTCTCTATAAGAACAAGCATCTGAGTTCCCTTACATCCAGTAATTTATAGATTGGAGTTCTCATCTTTTCACAATTCAGCCTCTTAAACTTGCAGACCCCTATGTATAGGTAACAGCACTCAGTAGGTACCTCTAGGCAGCTGGCAAACTTCATCCTGATTTCTTCAGGTAGAATTACCATAAGGCTTTAAGGATTACCTCTAATAGCTATACAGATACAAATATAGATAGCAAATGTTATGTCAGAAACCCTTTTTATAGACATTCCAGATTTCAGGTGCGCTTGCATGTGTTCCAACATTCTGTCACCCAAGGATATTTTCCAGTGCCCATGGCAAAGGGCGGAGAATTCAATTTTCTGTGTGGTTTAATAGACAAACTACATGCAATTTTGTTAACAGACTTCATAATCTGCGTTTTAACATGGATACCTTCCTACTCCTCTGTGTCTACCCTTGAACACACAGTGATTTATGTAAGGAATAGCAAGCTTTAGATCATGTTCAAGAAAGGTTTTCTTGTGCCAAAATGTAGCTCTATTATGACACTTTGTTTCTGGGGAAAGAATAGAGTCAGTTTAATCTAAGTACTTCAGAAGTTTAAAATTTCCATATAAACATTATATTCGATGTATCCAAATTATGTGTTCAAGAATCATTTGAACTAGTGTCCATATTTGATCACTTTTGCAACATGGAGTTCAGATTTCTGAATCTAGTTGATGCCATTGATATTTGGCAGAATTTAGCACTTCTTATCAAAACAATTCCAAGTTTACAAATCAGTAGCTCTTAAGCCTAGGAGATACGCACTGCAGCAGTTCATAGTTGTAACTAAGTTCTAATGTTCTGACTAGAGGCCATTAGAAATTTTCTGATGAACCAAGGTTTCTTGAAGTTCGCCCTGGGCTTGGATGTACTTTCATCAAATCTAAAGTAGGTGTTCAAGCAGATTCTTCCTGGAATAGTCTCCCCAGGGCATGGGATACAGGAAGCTGTAGGTCCTGAGCTTCATGGACCAAACTGGGATCTTTGCATGACCATCAGATTTACAGACACTGCTCTATGGCACTGGGCAACTGCAGCCTTCCAGGAGTTTCCAGGTGATTGGAAGTTTGGAAAGACATTATTTTGGTCTGATTTGCAAATCAAATGTGAAAAACAGAATGATGTTTCGGGGGGGTGGCAGGGGAAGGAAAAAGCTTCATTTAAGTTCTGGCCAGCTCAAAATCTTAAGGAAGTTACACCATATTGTAGAAGCACTTGTCATTTTAAATGATGCATGGTCCTATTTACAAGCGGCAGGAGTGTTGTTCTTTGTGCACAGTGAAAACTGATGCAAAGATCCTAGCATGCAATAAAAAAGATAAAGTTTTGCAATAACAACACAGTTGCCTCTGGCTGCTGTAGGAGTCCCATTTGTATGAATTAGCTATTACATTGTGCCTGCTTATTGAACATCACCAACAAAGTCTGAAATTGTACACATCCTGTGATGAAACACGACTTCTGCCCAAGGAACTTTTGAAAGTTCTCTGCTCTTCGAGCCCACCGAAGTAGAGGTGTGATTTGTCACAGACCAGTGATTTGTCCCCACAGAAATGAGTGCTGCATTTCCAGAATGCTTTTTAATGTATCAGTAGCCATTTATATCTTCAATAATAGTGCTTCTTTAAGAAATATTGAAATTCTCAGAAACTCATCAGCAGAAAAGAACAGCTTCTAGGTCATAGTAGCCTGTGTGTCAAATATGAAGCCCCCATTAGCTTCAGCAGCATTGAAAAAAGCACCTGAATGACTGCAGGCTGGTAGCTACCAAACCATATTGCTTTCATAAGACCTTTGTTCCGTATTAAATGAGTTAGTATTTCACCTGGTGTCTAGAGAGACAATGTCTGAGAGATGCTGCCTTTGTATTTGACCTTTGTCCTCAGGGCTTTCTCAAAAAAAAGTTATAAGATTGAAACAGGTACAGGAAAACTATCCTTTCTCACCTAGACATCACCTCACAGAAATATTTCTGAGATGCATTAAAAAGATAATGTAAAGAAGCTGTTCCTCATTTTGCTAAACCTGTTTTGTGGGTTTCTAACATTTTTAAGGCAAATTTAAGGCAAGTTAAAACTTTTAGAGAAATGATTTTTTGTAAAAAAAAAAAGTAACATTTTTCATGTATTAAAGGTGATTTCTTGTAAAACATTAATTTCATGCTGACACATAATGCTCCTAGCAGAATAAGACTTCAGTTTATCTGTAATTATCAAGTAAATGACTAAACTAAAAATGGTGCAGACATTTATAGTGAAGCAGACTCATTTAAATCACCTTGATAATTTCAAGGGCTGTGTATTTTATTAAGAAATACTATCATGTTCATAGCTTTTCTTCCAAAAAAGGATTATGCATGTGTTTTCTTTCTCTCATTATTCATATTTCTTTCATTATTTATATTTATAGATCGAGCAAGAAGCAGCATGGTCTCCACAGAAAGTGCCTCCTCAACATACGAAGAGCTAGCGAGAGCATATGAGCATGCAAAAATGGAAGAGCAGCTGAGACATGCCAAGTTCACCATTACAGAATGCTTCATATCAGACACATCATCGGAGCAGCTCACGGCAGGGACTAATGACTACACAGACAGTCTGACCTCAAGTACGCCATCAGAGTCGGGGATTTGCAGGTTTACTGCATCCCCCCCCAAACCTCAGGATGGAGGGCGAGTGATGAACATGGCAGTTCCAAAGGCACATCGGCCAGGTGAGACACTAGAGGTAACGTTTTGGTCCTTGGGGTGAGCATTTCACCCCGTGCCTAGGCTGGCTAACAGGAGAGGGCATATCACAAGGAAGAAAAAAGTGCACGATGTATCCTGTAACTGCTTACAGAGGTAATTGCTTTTTGTCCCAGCAAATATAACATTTGAGTATGTTCTCCCATATAAAGAAAAATTAGGAACTTAGAAATTTAGGAACAGAAAGGGACTGTCTAGACCATCAAATCCATTCCTCTACAGCTGCAGCCATCAGGCAATAGACCCTTCTGGGATAAATAAGACCATATGGGGGTACATACGCCTATCTCCAACTCAAACCGCCCACTAATAAAACATGTCTTAAAGCAATACTTTGTGCTTGAGAGCAAAGGTTTGCTGTCAGAACAGTTCATAAAGACAGATTGTAGAAGATGTACTATCCCTTCTGCCTTGTAGCTTGTCAAAGATGTAATAACCCTTCAGTGATGTTCTTGAGCTGTTATACTCTCTCTTTGACATCTCCTAATATCGAACTAGGATTATCTAAAGTGGGGAGAATAAAAAATTGAGAAAATGAGGACAGTGCAATAGCTCAAGGGATATGGAGCCTTCTACCTTCAGACAAATTTAAACCCACTCCAACTTCTTACTGACTGAAGGTGCCTGAGGGACATCTATCTATTGGGCTCAATCAAATTTCCAGTTCACAAAGAATGCTGTTTCTGGTGATATCCTAGTGCACAATAGCATAGGTAGATTATCTGCGGTACTCTGAGATCAAACATATTATAAAATCTTCTCAGAAGACCTGTCAGTCTTTATTACAGAATACACAATGTGAGGAGGTTTCACATGGGAAAGCGGCATAATTACATTTGTATGCTTTCTGAAAACAAGATTTATTTTATTTTATTTTATTTTATTTTATTTTATTTTAT